ACTACAGTTATCCTCGGGAGGTTAATATTCGTAAAAAAAAATTTTTCGTTATTTTTTAAATTTATGTTATTAATTTATGTATTTCTAATAAATATTATATTTTAGAGTCCACTTAGCCAATGGAATATAGTCTTTGATTTCGAAAACGTCGCTAAAAGTCGTGGAGAGAATACTTTGCACTCTCAACAAAGCCAAGATATTTACCAGAAAAGTTTTGAACGAGCCTCTACACTCTCGGAAAAAAATTTACCTAAAAACAAAAAAGCAAAAATTGCAACAAAAGGTAAGGAGAAACTTCTGGCTGCGGGAACGTCAGAGAGACCTTAAATTAAGATGGTTTAAAAATTTAAATCGCATTTCATATGACAAAAACAATAATTTTCGTGTTTTCCAATGAGTATTCTTTAAAGATGTTTTACGTTGTATCAATATTTTAGCAATAAAATTTTTTAATTTTGTATTTCACACTTTATTTTTATTCCTGTAACATTTTCACTTCATTATTTCATGCGTATTTATGTTTTTTAACATTTTACTACATATTTTATCATTGTTTCATAATCTGGACTTTCATTATGAAACACCCGGACAACGATAAAATAAGTGTTCCATACTATGTACATAAAGGCATCGTTGAAATTGTTTAATCATAGTTAATTGAATTATGAAGTTAAATTCTAATTTTAAGCACTTACTTAATCGAGAGTTTCCCCGTCAAATGATACTCATTTTATTTCTCCACGCGTAATCATTTAAAAGAATTGATCGTAAAAACTGTTCAGAATGAGAAAATGTTGTTTTGAAAAAAAATTTTGATTTAAGAAAATACACTTAAAAAAAAATAATTAACCAACTGGAAGTTATCTCAAAGATTAAAAAAAACATTTTTATAGTAGTGGCATTTAACTGAATATGTTTACATTTTGTTACGTTACAATTTTGTTAGAAATTGTTTAAGTTTAAATTTTGATTCCAGAAGAATTCTTATACCATTGTCCTAAATAAGATCCTTTTTACAATGTTCTTTTGCAAGTTTAACTTATTTTCGTCATAACTTCGTACACGTATTGAAAAACAATAATTTAAAAAAACCAAGTTTGGTGATTCTGTACTAAAAATCTTATCTCATGAAAATTAGAGTTTTGTTAAAAATAATAACTGTCACGTATTATATAGTTGTTTCCAAACTCGTGTACATAAGAACTAGTTGGTTTAAGGTAGACAGATCTTCGAAGAAAAAAAAATGTTATAAGTGAACGCATACAGAAGTATGAATAAATTATAATTTAATCATTATATGTATTAACGTTTATTCTCCCTTCTTTTAAATCAAACATCGGGGAGTTCTGTCTCTTCGTGGTTTCATAGGGCAATCAGCAATCACTACTACAGTTTGTATTACTTTTTTAGTACTTTTGTTTTAACGAATAAGTGAGATTATATTATGTCATACGATTGCACGTAATTATTTAGAACTCAACGTAAGAAAAAAATATTACAAATAAAGAAAAAATTAACGTGCCTGAGATCTTTTACTTATTAATATTAATACCAAGGAATAGCTCTATTTGATGTTTTTGGTATTCATCTTTACTTAGTATAAAATCGATTTATTTGCCTCTTAGGTGGTATAGATAAAAATGATAATCATATATAGCTAATAGCTTGTATATACTAAACGTTTAACAGAGAGATCAGTCAGAAAATATACTAGTGGGGCTGATGTCTCCCTGCGTGCTCCACTCGCCAACCCCCCCAATCATGATTTTGATATTCCAATATGTATGGACGAAATTTATTACTCAATAATACATCCCATAAATCTATAATATGTTGTACCAATTGTACTAATTTCAATATTGATTTAAAACAGAATAGGAATATACCTAAGTCTTCGTGGTTTGATACGGCTTTATAAGTCGACAAATAAGATAAGTCATCTGAATGCGAAACTTCCACGGTTTGTATTAATGATAAACTAAATGTTATTTTAATTTTTGTATGTATTGGTATTATTTATTCGTATTTAAAATAATGTAATACAGACACATTAAAATTTTACACATAATTTATCATAAATGCTAACAAAAAAAAGTTTAACGCACCAAGAACTTTATACTTACAAATAAATGGAAATACAATTGATATAAATTGATTTTTTGTCCTATTGAGTTTTATAAATGAAATGATTATGAATTATTCGTATGTATAAAGTCTATCTATTTGCCTCCTGGGTAGTGTGGAAAAATAGATGAAAACAAAATATATTGTAAGAAACAAAACATGCTTTTACTAGTTAACATTCTTCACAAATAAACATTTTTACGGTACAAAAATGTACATGGCATATTATTTTTATGATATATTAAATTATATTTCCATTGAAAGACCTTGAGTAAAACATAAATGAATGAATAATCTCTTAACCACCAATATAAATGATTATATATCGTGGAACGTTGCTTGGAATGCCCACACAGTTAACTATATAATATAACAGTTAACTTTATAAT